TATTCATTCACAGCTTCTAAGTTTCAGTGGTACTGAAAGTGGCTACTTGTACACCTAACTCGCCGAGCGTCGTGCTTGGAAGCACATGTACTCACAAAGTCAAGCACTTCAAGGCACCATCCACCGGGAAGTTCCGTTGAGGAACAGCTATGTAGCTCGGGTGCGCTGTCTGGTTGCTAGTCTGTTCACCGAGCTTGGCAGTCGGACTGAAAACGTTTAATTGCCAATCGGGGTGACATCGTTGGTGCATTGCCGTTTGAGTAGCAACAACCAACAGGTCATTCGAATCAATCAAGCATTCAATAGGGGAAAAGCAGGGAGGAAACGGCTCAGTCACAACGAAAGAACGCAAAGAACCAACCATTTGCAAGGAAATGGGGCTACAACGCAACCCAGATCCCAAGCTAACCAACCAAAATGCTCGAAAGCCACCACGGGACCGACCAATCACTTTAGGGCTAATAGATACTGTTTAGCAACTATATGATCACAGGCAGAAAAGGAGGAATTTGCGCACTGGCGATGTTGCCTTAATGGTCGATCAAACGTTTGCAACCCCACTGTCAAGCTAGACAAACAGACCGATAACCAGAACAACTATTTCATTTCTGTGCTGCTCACAGTCCAGTAAAAAAAACCAATTTCGGTCCAAAGTTGAAAACCAGAGCAGTGTGTCCAAAAACAGCTAGTCATTTCATACCATGTTGAGAATTTGTCACACTTTTTATGGGTTGCCACACAGCCCATCGTCAGTGTCTGAGGGTGTAGTGTTCTGTTCGAATCACTGGTGCCCCGCGTCTCATGCTTTTCAATACACCCCTGAAATTCAGGATATTCGTGACCCATCTAAAGTACTAGGGGTTCGCTCGGAGAGGAAATGGCCATCCTACGGGTTGCTCAGCGAGTGCATCGTGCTGCCGAGCATAAGTGGCACCATACTGTGGAACAACAAGTCCCAGATGCTACGGTCCAATACCACTCGGAGACGGATAGTTAGAGCGTCATACCAAAGACACCGCTTGAGGTCGGTATTCAATAGCGGTTCAACTAGTCTTCTATTGAAGATTCGACAAAATATCCTATTTACCGTTGAGAAAATTGTTATTCGTGTTTTGAACACAGAACGCCGAGGATGGGAAACTATTCTGGTTTCATCCAACCCAGGTGGATCACAAGTTACCCAGCCAGAAAAACTTGGAAACATGAAACTCTCCAGGAACAGTGATATTGCGTTTCGTAATTCGGCCGTGAGCTAGACAACAAACTGACTTACTGTGAGTTCACAGTCGAATATGACCAATTTGGCACTGTCAGGAATGAGATCGTAACAGGGCGTGTGGTGAAATAGGACAGCGTAGGTTTCCGCCTCACCTGCACATTAAAAAACAAACGGGATATGTTTAAAGTCGGTCATACTATCCAAGCAATGTGATCAAAGCCGAACTATCGGTCATCAAAAAGCAATACTCTACAGAAAAGAACATCGGAATGTTATGGACCGAACCAGTGGTGGTTTAAACAAGCTTAGCCTTGATAACCAGTATGTCGAACATCAGTGATGGAACTTTTGCTTTTATTCGACTTTCGGGGCATTCACATCACACAGGAAGAAGATGGATTCAAGATCGCATGTCACTCCATGTATTGTCCTTTTTTCAACAGCAAATCTACGGGGATCATGGTGCCTGTAGGCAGAGAAACGGATCATGAATGGCCCGTACTCGAATCGGGTTTGCCAGACCAACGTGGATGACTGCAGACGATTTGTGCTGAGCCGAACTCGGTGCTCTACTCAAACCCTCGCAACCAATGTGGATTTTGGGGAGATAAAGTCGACAGGCGAACGTGCTGTAAGCAATCACCAAGCCTAAACCTGAAGGCAGAACAACAGCCACTGATAGCAGTTAGTTTCACCGTTTGACCATAAGGCCACACCTCCCTCGAAAAAGCACCACGCAAGTGTTACCAGTAGTCGCCCATCTACACGGTCATAAAGGTGAAAAGAAGAAAGCTTTCGCTTAGGAGTCATTTAATGGAAAACACCAACTGAACAATTACAGACTATGGGACAGGGAAGCATATCTTTCACGTGCATCTTGTTTATAAATGCTGAATATCCGTCTTCTTGTCAAACGCGTCTTCCTGAACTTTCCTGGACACTCATGGACTATCACTCAAACGTAAACGAATGCCACGAAGCGGTTCCACAAATTCCGTAACAAATCTCTTTTCAATAGACGCGATGCGGAGTTATGAGAAAACCGCATACTACTCGCATGCCCCATCAGTAGTATCCATGTCACAAGGAAGTGATGGATTAGTTAGTAATATTGCATTAACACGATGGTCAATGAGCGTTGTCATCCCTTGAATAAGAATGTCCTGCATGTACTCAATCTGTCCCAGGTGGTTATGCTTAGCTGATGGACTGAAGAGTGCGTTGGTGATCCGCAAGGCCGGTGACACCAAGGCAACTGGGTCCGCATGGTCGAGACTGTGGAAAGTGAGATTGAGACAGTCAAAATAACTCACTTGTTCTGCACCTCAAAGCTTCACATTCCTGCATGGATAGCAATTCAGTTCGGTATCAAATCCTCCCATGAGGTAAAACGGGACTTACTGTTTTCCAAACTTATCTGATAGCTGTCCCAGTTTCGGGTATTCGGGCTGCCTTTGACTGTGTGGACCGCCAAGCACTATGGCAGTGTCTGCGGAATGAAGGTGTCCCCCATAAATTCTTGACCCTCCTTAAGGCGGTGTACGCCAACTCCCGCAGCCGGGAAGCTCTCTCCTGAGTTCACCACATCAAGTGGTGTCCGACAGGGTTGTCCTCTTTCCCCTTTCCTCTTCAACTTCGTCATCGATACGATCATGGGAGACGCACTACCAGCCTCTAATGTCTGTGGGGTCAAAGTGCTCCCTGGGCCTCCGCTCACAGACATCGAG